AGGTGAAGAAATGAAAATGATAAGTTAATAACCTTACCCATTTTTTAAGTCAGAAAAAGTGCAGACTACTTTTCTGATGTCTCATGTATTTTAACGCTAACGCATTTGTTCCCCGATAAGTCAACGGTAAGTTTACGGAATTACAACGTTAAAATCCGGGATGCGATTCCTCATGGTGAAGAGTACAGATAATTCACTGTGTAACTTTGCATGAAGAAAACAACAACAGCTAACGTATTTATAATTTTCGTATTAGTGTTCTTCAACGATTTTAATTGTGAAGTTAGAAAAAATTAATTGGTATTAATTTGAACACTAACCACAGCCACCTATATCTACTTAATTTGCATATGAGTCTTCTACCTTAGTCTTTCAATTTTAATTTCGTCTTTTTATATATTTGTTCAACTTAATCTTTATTAATGTTTTTTTATCTTACTCATTTTATAATCAGTTCCAGTTCCTTTTTTATTTTGAACTTCTTTGATTTATCACGTTTTCGTTTTTAAAAATAATTTCTTCAGTTCTTCCTCTATGTTTACTAATGACTACATTTTCTATACCTCATCATCTCATCATAAATCACTATTTTACAGGTGAACAAAAATGCTTTAATAAGGAAGATGCATACAAAATAGCTTGGAATTAAATCATATTCCCAAATTTTATTGTTGGCGTTTTAAAATGTTTATTAAAGTATTTTAGTTTCTTTCTTCATCACTAGATGCTACTATCTGTTAAAAGTTTATCTAATGTCTGAAATATTTTTAACCCTTTAATTTATGAAGTTATGTTTTAGGACTTAAATATTTTTCATGTACCGTAACTAAGTTTAGAGAAAATCGTTAGAAACTTTTGAAAATTGTTCAGAATTTAACATTTATTTTTGTGTTATTTTCCCTTTATGTTTAAAATACTGACATTTTATCTAGAGTGCTGCCACTTAGTGTCGGATTTGAAAACTATGGTCTATCCATAGATAAAGCAGTGAAGTTATCATGGCGAGCAACGATGACGAACCGATGCATTTATACGAAGTTTTCCAAAATTGTTTCAATAAGATAGCGAATAAACAAGGTAATCCATACAAAACTTTGTTTAATATGTTATATTTTAAAAACATCTGCCAAAACGTCATCAAACAAGCTACAGATACTGAATCTGAATAATAACACTTTGAAATTTTATCACGCTAGGAATTATGTTATATTATTTATAATGATATTAATATTTATTAATTAATATTTTAAATAAAAAGAAAGTAACCACCCTTCAGATACAAAAGCACTGTTATAACTACGCAAACTGCTTATACTTTAAAGTGACTGAAGACTATAGTATTAATTTCAATGTTAGTTCTTATTAGAGTTTAAATTTAATATTCGACTTGTATATATATATATATATATAATTATAATACTATATTATTGATACAGGATAGCGAGGTACCGAGTTTCACCCTAAATATCCTAAATTATAGCAGGGACAATATTAACCTAAAGAATAATAATTAATATGATCAGTATTTAATAAATTTCGTTATGTATTTTATCTTATAATAACAATTAGTTTTGTTTAATAACTGATATAAGTTTACTTATAATCGTATGTTTAATACTCATTAGTTATTTTTTTTTTAATTTCTCTTTAAAAATTGCTCTGTATTATTAGCTATGAATAACATAATGTACTAACAGTAATATGATAAAATGTTGATCAAGGCCATGTTTTAACTTGCTTTCATTAGTTACAGTATATAGCATAATGTCTGAAGGGTAGGAAATGGAATCTAATAATAATGAATTCAATTATGCATAGCCCTAAGAAAATGTTTTTGTAATGATGCTGGTGGTAAGATAATTTTTCATTTTATTTTTTGAACTATATAATTGTTGAGAATTAATCTTTCACAGGAATATAAATTATAACAGTAGCCTGTTTCATTAAGTAATTTGGAACTTAATATATTAATATTAAGCAAGGTCATACGCTGTATGAGTTGGATGTTTGACTGGATGTCAAACTGTTTCCATGAAAAAAAGATTATCAGGAAGAAACTTTTAGCAACAGTAACATAATTAAAAGTTTTCTTGGAACATGTTTGACATAATAATCTATTGAAAAACAATTAGTTTAATATCAGTAATTATTCATTAGTGTATCAAATTATACAAGTATTACATATGTATGGGTGTATGTAAGAGCAACAATATCAACAGACATATAATCTATAAGTATTACGGCATAAATATTGAGAATTCAGTCAGAGTAAGCTATAACTAGAATCATGTAATATATATGTATGTTTATGTGGTATATAGAATTCTTAACTATGATAGTTAGATGTAAATGATAATACATTTAAAGCTTATTGATTAAATTTTAGTAGTCAAATACTTGACAGTTTGAAGTGTAATAAATTTCCCTAAATTCTTTTCAGAGTTTTGTACCATTAAAGAGAAAGTGCATTGTCTTGCTATAGCTCTTACGAGCTTAGTATCTGTTGCTTTTTTTTCAACTTCAAAGATGGTTTTAGAGTTAAAACAGAACAGACTAGTTTTGAGACAAATATGTTAGTGGCTATTACATGGGTTACTGAAAGGTTTAAATGCTGTGGCATTTGTTTTAGGGGGTTAATATTTGAAAACTGCATGATATGTAATAGTAAGAGAGACTAAGATACTGGGCTAAGTAGGAAAAATTTTAACAAAGCTTGAAATGTTTTTAACTAGTTTAGTCAAAATTGCAGCAAAAGATTGTATTCCTTAAATACTGGATTCTAATCAAAAGAATGTTTTTAATGGATGGTTTGAGAGTTTACTTTGTAACAAATGGTAAATATAAAGTATTCAGAGATGAACTTTCTTCTAGGTTTCATAACATAAACAAAACAAAAAGTCAAAGCTTAGGGAAGCTATAGAAATATCTTGGATCAGATATGAAACTTGACACAAGTTTTTATGTTTGTATAAAGTATGAAAAAAAGTTAAAGCTTTTAAGATATTTGAATGTTAAAATTTTAATGGAAGATTAGAATAAGACCAAAGAGCTAAACACACTTACTGGAGAAGGAGAAGATGAGTTTCTCCACTTGGCCATTTTTTATAGAGTGATTTTTAAAAATCCTGTTGTTTCTTTGTGGGAAAGCTGAAAATCTTGAATAGAAAAGAATGGACAGTTAGATTTGTTGAGATGTTCATGAAAAAGTTACAATTTAAAATGGCTTCATGGTAGGAACAAAAGATGGTGATAAGTGGTCATAAATGATTAAAAGATTGTAAGTAACAGGTTCTTTAAAGGCTCATTTTGAGACTTTTGCTATTCATTAAAAACGTAAGAAAAAGTAAAGTATAATACTATTTAATGTCATTGATGGCAACGAAATAGTTAATGTATCATCAGGCAAACCATTCTATAACTTTTAACTTAAATGAAAAATATTTTATTAAAAAACAAGTCAATATCTTTAGCTTAGAAAGATCAGAATGTTCTTTTTTAAGTTGAAGGAATTTAATGTTATGCTATAGAGAAGTGTAAAGTAAGTGACATGTGATAAGGAAATAAAAAAAAATTATGCCAGAGGAACATGTTTTCTGAAAGAAAAGAAATTGTTCAGCCAAGTGTTTATTTAATATTGAGAGAAGACTACAAAATGTAAATCATTTCCCTTTTTTTATCAGTATTAAGCTTAGAACATTGGGTGATATTGAAATTGTCCTAGTACAATGTAGGCTCACTGTCACAAGTTTCTAATGTCAGAAATCTAAGAGACGTTTTATGCACTTGGATTCTTATAAAAATGCAGGAAGACTGATTTAATATATCCATGTGTACAATATGAATAGATTAATTGGTAAATAACAAAAGAGCACTGGGTTTAAGAATTTTGTCTTTATAACTTGCAGAGTAACTTAGCTTCTGTTGTCATTTGTACACAAAATCAATGAAACTCCTGAAAATAAAAACAAAAAGTTTAAAATTTGCATGAGTAGTTTTCATAGAAAAAATTTCTTACTTCAGTGAATAGTACAGTAAGGATCACATGTAACTTGAAAACATGCATCTTTTTCACTGGAAGGATGTATGGTTTGTTTTTACAATTCCTGATCTTGACAGAATAGGATAATTGTTCCACTGGGGAAAAAAACAAAAACAAAACACTAATGTTTTCTGTTTCCTAAAATCAAACAAAGCAAGCCACCTATAAATATGTAGTGGCATAATTTAATATACCAGTCTTACTAGGAGTATGTAATGTCATAAAACAAAGCAATGTTGATTAAATTATTTTAAGAGAATGAAACATGAGATTTATATGACAAAAGTAATAACCTATTGTCTATAAACTGATAATGGGAGACATTATTTGAAGGAAGCAATAATGACTTTCCAATTGAAGCCATCTTTCAGTATTAACCATTAACTAGATAAATCTAAAAATGAAGGAGAAAGTAAAGGAATGTTGTTAAAAGCTTAGAACTTCTGCCCAAGATCTTAGATGTGATGAAAGGCATTAACAGAGTTAATTACAATTATTAGTTTAAAACAATTTTTATTATAAGAAGTGTGTTATTTTTATTAATAAAACTAGTCAAATCTCTTAAGAATTTTGAGTTGCATCTTGACCATCATAGTACAAGGAGGTTAAAATGCCATAAAAGTAACAGAAAAAGTTTAGTAAATTTTACTTGTGAAGAGAGGTTCAAAGACTTTTAATTTGTTTTCACTAAGATATATAAAAATTATAAATGACTTGATTTAAAGATTTGAAATTGTTAGAGCTTATAAGTAAACTGTCTATGGGATGCATCTTTGAGTGATAATATTGGTGTAAATACTTGAATATTAGGGTTGATAAATAACAGCCTAAATTGGAAGTTTGGACCTTACTAAAACAGCCTTGGAAGCCTGGATTGTACTAGAAATGGCCTTGGAAGTCCAGAATTTATTTAAAACTACTTTGGAAGTCCAAATCTTATTAACAGCCTGAGAAGTCCAGATCTTGTTAACAACAGTCTTGTAACTTTAGATTTTGTTAACAACAATCTTGGAATTCCAGATCTTGTTAACAATAGTCTTGGAATTCCAGATCTTGTTAACAATAGTCTTGGAGGTCTAGATTTCATCAGAAACAGCTTTTAAAGTCTTGATATTATTAAAAACTATTTTATTATAGCTACAAATATTGGAAATTCCTTTGTTCAAACTTGGTGGATAGGTATACTTAAGTAAAAAGTTACTTTTAGCTTGGACTGGTGACTTAAAGAGGTTTCAATAACGGAGTGACTTTTATTGCTGAGTGCAGCTGTGTCATGAGATTATGTTTCACAGCTCTGACATCTTAAACATTTATAGTCATTTTGTGATCACAACACAATTACAAAATCATCAATGTACATGTATTGCATAGATGAATTTAAGAGATGTTAATGAGCATAGAAGACAAAACCTTAAGAGCTTCTTAGTCGTTACTCCCATTTAAATCTGAAAAGTGTGTAAATGCTATCTATCTTCTTATTTTTTATCCTTCATGACCTACAGATAAACTTCACAATATTTTGCCACTAATGGTAGAAATTTTGATTTGTACAAGACTTTACTGGATTGAATTGACTAACAGACTTTTTGAGAAATCAAAAATGATAGTTTATTGAAACAAATATCCTAATCTTACTTTATACATAAACTTACAGTTACCCGTCTAATCTGAAATGAAGTACATGTTCTAGTAATGTGTGTGTGTCTTTATAAACATTAAAAGGTCTGTATTACTGTTTAATACAATATTGTAAAACTGTACTCTTGGTGACATGTATAATCCGTTTTTAAATAGCATTACTAAATTGTTCTGATAATTGTGATTTCACTTGTGATTCCAAACATTCTTTGTTCCAGATTCCTTTACTGGTATAAAAGATGTTTCTACATATGTTCAGATCATTTCTCAAAAGCAGTGCTATACAGGTTTTAAAATAATAATATTCTTAACACCCATGATTGATTAGAAATTAATTGTAGAATAAGAATTTACTTAATAATTTAAATCTTTATACATGTTAAATGATTAAACTATATTTATGAGAATTGGCTGTCTAGGTACAATGTAAGATACAGATCATCATGCATTGTCACTGCATGTCAACTATAGCTGGATGCTTTTAGCATGTTCAGGGCAGCTGCAAATTAAATAATTAGATATCCATTTTATGATGTTACTATAGCATGTAGTCTACAAAGATATTTACACTATAGTGTGCGATCTACACAGATACTATCATCATCACCATTTTAACTTTTGTTTATTTGCAATTAGCGCCATTTATTATAAATAATGCTTTTAAACTAATAAAGTACAAAATACCATTAGATGACGTTTTTGGGGCAAATATAATTGGAATGAAATAAATTCCAACAATCAAAACTAACACAATTATAACCTAAGTTTGAGGTACTCTTTTGGAACACACAACTTATTAAATTATTATTATCATTTGGTGAACAAAAACATGGATAGATATAAATTATTTAGCAAGAAATTATGTTTTAGTGAATCATTAAAATGGTGATGATGATAGTATCTGTGTAGACTGCATGCTATAGTAGCACCCATTTCATATTACTTGTGTAGCTGAGTTACTAATAAACATTTTTGATAAAAGACCATCATTTTGAACCTAAAAGATGATTTTCTTGATTATTCATTTTTTTTTATTTCTTAATGTCTTTATGATTTGAATAGGTTAATAGGTGTGCAGCAAAATCTAGTAAATAGCTATAACATTGAATTTCAAGGTATTACAAATGAATGTACATATTATATAAATTTTCATTATTGTAAGACTAGATTTATTTATGATGGGAGAATACATTAGTGATTTCTCTGAAAGAAAGTCAATTTAACTAACTATCTAATAGAGGACACCTTTCTATTAGTCCTTGATGTCTCAAAAATCTGCATTTTTTTCACGGTTAATATGTTTAAATGCTACACAAGCTAGAAGAACATTCAGAAATGCAAAGTTATGGTCAGTAGTGGAACTCAAATTTGATAGTGTAGAGCTTGTTTGCTCATTTGTAATTTTCTGTGGCCTGATTATATGAACATCCACCAGATTTGGTCCCCAGTTAATCTAATTATGTGAAAACCAACCAGCTTTGATCCATAGTTAATCTAGTTATGGAAACACCAACCAGCTTTGGTACCTATAATCTAGTTATATGAACACCAACTAGCTTTAGTCCTTAGCTAATTTACTTATGTGAACATCCACCAGCTTTGGTCCATATAATCTAGTTATATGAACACCAACTAGTTTTGTCCTTAGCTAATTTACTTATGTGAACATCCACCAGCTTTGGTCCATATAATCTAGTTATATGAACACCAACTGCCTTTGGACCTTAGTTAATCTAGTTATGTTAACACTAATCAACTTTGGTCCCTAGCTAATCTAGTTATGTAAACACCCACCAGATTTGGTTCTTAATTAATTTAATTATGTCAACATTCACCAGTTTTGGATTCTAGCTAATTGAGTTATGTGAACATTCACCAAGTTTGGGCCTTAGCTAATCTAGTTATGTCGACTCCCATCAGCTTTGGACTGTTTGATTAGTCAGTGGAAGCTACTCATTTGTTCAGCTTAAGACTAACAACTTGTACTATCTACACTGCAATACATTAGTCATGGTTTATACATATTGCCAGTCAAGTACCACAAAGTAGTTATTTGTTTGAAGTGGGTAAGTTTTATACAAAATGTATTTTTTAAATCAACCAAATGTTGGTTTTTATTTGATAGTTGAAGATTTAATAGCTTTTCATATAAGTTATGAAAGCAGTAGGTATATTTTCAGTTTTCAAGCTACATTCATCTGTTTTTGGAATAAAATAACCTCAAAAGAAAGGTGCAAAGTGAAAGATTACTAATTACTAGTAGAAGTTTGCCTTGTTATATTAAATGCAAAAGATGACAACATAAAGCCATAGTTACAATTAAGTAATTCAAACATTAATTGTATAGTGGAGACACTGTAAAATATTGTGGGGGTTATTACGGACTTTGGAATTGTGCATCAAGAAAAACATTAAACTGACAAGTATAGGATTCCAGTCAACTTTAGGCAGATCATTGAAGTGGAATAGTTTGGCATGAAAAGACACTTAATAAAATGGGTGGATTCTAGGAGACTTACAAGGCAATCCACCCATTTTCATCGGAGTATCATGCATGCAACTGTATGGAACCACTGGATATAACATCTTGAGTGTTTGGTTCCTTCAACAAAATTAACTTGGTGATAAGTACAGAATTATGGTAACTACCCACCTGTTGGATAAAAAGAGGCAGTGGGTATACCATGTTAACTGTGATGTTGAAATTTTGTGGTTCCCATTCTGGAATAATCCAGATCAGGCATATGGGAAAGCCAAGATGTAGATCACTATAATTCCCATCAGACTGGAGGGGATGGGTACATGGTAGGTAAAAACCACTCTCTAGTTAGATGCAGGAAATCACTAAAACCGATCACATGAGCAAATACCATTTTAATTATGCAGTAAATAACCAAGTCTTGGAAACAGATTCATGGTGCAAATAAATTTGAAGATGCAAAAACTTTTCAGTATGGAGGGAAACTTTTATACAGTCACTTTGACATAAAATGTGAGCTGTATGTATGAAATGTGATGAATAGGCAAAGCTGCAGGTTATAAGAACACTTGTGGAATCACATAGGCATATATGTGAAGCATTAAGAACACAGAAAACAGATAGATAACATGAATACCACAACCACATTGTGTGTGTACTATTCCAAGATCACAATATGCTGCACAGCCAAAGGCAGCCCACCAGTAATAAGTGAATGACTTACATGTACAGATTCTTACATACATGCCTCATCAGTGTTGAATTCAGGGGGTGTACATGGTGGGGAATTCACCCTGTGCAAAAAATTCCTACCTGAAGTACAGTATTTTCCATTTTATTGAATCTGAATTCATTATCTCCCCCCCTACCTGGTGAAATGGTCTGGATTTAATACTGTACCTCATGAAGCCATTGATGGCTTTCTAGTATGAACCAGTGGCAACTAGATCTGGGCAGTTAATGGAATTTGTTAACTGACTAATTGAGAAGCTTGTTAATTGATTATATTCATGTACCCTTAGGTACAACAATATAGGATGAATTTAATTTTTTATCCTCATCAGTATGAAAAACTTTAAAAAATTATTAACTTTATATGTATAAAAACATCAAAGTTTTTGATGTGGACACAAATGTAGAAAGAACATAAAGTTATTCATATGTTATGTATACATATTATCGTAAAGGTTGAATGAAACTAGAAATACACATACATGCTGAGAAATCAATAAATCAAAAATTTAAAGGTTATACTGTAATAGGTAGGCAGGCAGTGTTTAAGAAGCATGTGTTGACAGTCAAACTTTTCCCTACCTAGTGTTTCTTACCTAGCAAGAGCTAATCGTAATTAAGCAGAAATCATGTTTGGGTAAACAGTTTACAATTTAAAGGTTTTACATATTGTTTGACTATTATTATTTCATTTCTAATAATTTTTGACAAACCTAGTTAAATTAGCAAGTTATTAAGCAATCAAAATTTTTTTGAGCAAATAGAGAATAATGAATATTAACTTTGCTAAAACATATATAAATTAAAGCATTCTTACCCTAAATAACACTGGCTATGTTTGTAGCTTGTAATAAGTAAGCAATATATTAAGTTAAAGCTACACTATTATTTAGTTCAAACAAGTTAAACAGGACCAACAGATCATTGTAGCAATTTGTGTAACCAAAGGCCACTCTCACATCCGTGAGTTGTTTGCTCCAATGAAAGTAGTACTAGCTATTGTGCCATGTGTGATTTAAACTGGTGCGTATTTGAAGTTGAACAACTTTTTTGTGTAATGGTGAAGCTACTAATGGTACCTAAGATGTGATATTAGGTCAATTATATTTGTTGATAAAGAGTAGCTTAAGAGTTAGCAGTGGATGCTGCCAGATGGTTGCCTTCCCTGTTGTCACAGCTCAAAATGAGGGATAGTGGCAGATAGTCTTAATAGCTTTGCCATAATTCAAAAACATTGAAACAAATATATCATTTTTATGGCTGAAATAGTGAGCATTGCAGGTGACAAGAGGAATCAAACCCTTGACCCTCGATCACAAGTCAGTCACCGTATTCACCAGGCCATATTGGCTTGAAACTGGACAAACTTTAATTAATTAATGAGAAGTCATAATGGCAATATTTTGACTACTTGAATAGTTAGAATAATTGAAAATATTAATAATCGTAAGCACTAATTTAGATTAGTTGAGCATTTTTGTGACATAAACCAATTTACTCTTAACATTGCTTAATCAATAACTTCTGTGTGACACTAGTCAGTGAATTGATGCTCACAGATAATAAATTAATGGAGTTAATAATCTAGATCTAGTGATAACAATAGTGCTGTTTGTATGTTGAGCATCTTCTGTGGTGAAGAGTATTTTGACAATGATTACCTACAACAGTTTCTTTTTGAAATTTAAAAGTTTTTGTGATTAAATTTGAATAGTTTGCTTATATAATCACAACAATCAATGAATTAATGCTTCCTTTCTTGTGAATAATGCTTACATACAGAATTAAGATTTAAATTTGTCAATAGTAAATATCTGTATCATTTTCTAGAAATTAATCCATCTTGTTTATATTAAGAATTTGTTGTGCAAGCCATAATTAAACAAACTATCCAGCATGTTTTTATGAAAATAACCAGCATTCAGATTAAAAACGAAATTTAATTCATGAGTTGTGTGATTAAATTTTACAGATAAGAGGGAAATGACTTTTGGCCTACCTTATCCCCCTCAGCAAGAAGATGGCTTAGAGCAGGTGAGTGGTAGGAGTTAATCTTCATATTATCTTACATCTGTTAGCAAGATGGCTTAGAAGATGTAAGTGGTAGTAGTTAAACTGGATATTGCATTACATTCCTGGAGTATAAGATGTTTACAGCACTTTTGTGATTGTGGCTAATCTTTGTATGATTTGACATCCCTTAGCCTGATGGCTTATATCAGGTGAGTGGTAGTGTTAACCTTAGGAATACCTTACATTTTTCAACAAGATGGCATTAAACAGATGAGTGATAATGGTTAGGTTAACTTTAATATCCCTGTAAGTCCTTCAGCAAAAAAATGGCTTAGAGCAAATGAAAGGTAATGGATAAACTCAGTATGTTGGTCTTCTGTAAGGTGGGTTAGGACAAGTGAGAGGTGCTGGTTAAACTTGATATATCCTGTGTAAGATGGCTTAGCACGAGTGAGTAGTAGTGGTTAACCTTGATATGACCTTACACCCCTAAATAGGATGGCTTGGGACAAATGAGTAGTAGTAATAAACTGACAGTATCTTATAGCCCTAAACAAAAAGGTGGCTTAGAGAAAGGGAATATTAATGTTTTACTTTAACATTTCTTAATTTCCATCAACCAGATAGCTCAAAATAGATGAGTTGTAGTAATTAAACTTCACCCATTAGCAAAAATATTGCTTAAAATAGGAGACAGTAGTGATTTTCTTGGACATTACTTTTCATTTATCAACAAGATGGTTTAGAGCAAAGTGAGTAGTAGTGGTTGAATGTGATATTATTTTATATCCTTTGACAAGAATATAACTTTGAACAGGTGACTAATAGTAGTAACTTTTAATAATACCTTACATCCTTTAGCAAGATGGCTTCTAGTGGGTGTGTGATAGTGGCTAACCTTGATGGTACTTTACAGTCCTGAATAACAAGGATTAGAACAGAAGAATAGTAGTAGTTAAATTTCATTGTTGAATGGAGTACTAGGGGACAATCGAGTGGTTGTGCTGATAGCTGTTGCTGACCTATAATGTAGAAGCCAGCTGCCTCACAGGAGGAAAAAAGAGAGTTCCTTTACTGATTTTACCAGTGGCCTTCTGACTCAATACTGTCCTGTTGGTTCAACATCTTTCACTTTTCCTACCTACATCATATAGCACTTTTTTTTCCAGCAGTCTCATTCCACCTGGATGCTGATTAAGGCCTTCCATTGTGCCTTACTAATGCAGAGGAGATTGTAATCCTATCAGTAGAGGTATGTCAGATTTCATATAGGGACTTCTCTTGTGAGCTTGACAGCTGTTCTCATTTATCTTTAGCATACACATCCAGGTGATGGTCTTACCATGCACCTATTTTCCTTCCTGTCATCCATCTGGAGGCCAACCACTCTGATTTTTATAAAGTACTGCTTGCAAGTCAGTTGCAAATATTTTGTCAGTAGCACTATTTATTAGTGGTTCATTACTCTCAACAGTCCAGAGGAGAACTTGCTTTATGGCTTCTGTCTCCATGCTTGTGCTGCATGTGGGAAGCATGAATGTTCCTATAGCCTTACATAAAATGTTGTTGCTCTATGAGATGATAAATGCCCAACTAACTTTCTCACTGTCTGTGATGTACGAACAATATTTGACAATTATGACAGGTGATTGTCCATCCTGTGCTTCAACCCCTAGCTACATTTTCTTTCTAGGTTGATTTCCACTAGTTCCGGTAGCATCAGATGTTTATTTCACATGGTAAGTCTTAGATCTGGTAGTGACTAATTATCCCAGAAGTGCTATGTAGCACCTGTCCACCCATGATTGTTTTTGGGTATGCCTTTTAAACAGCCTTCTGTTTAGTAGGTGTCTTTAGGGTTGATGTGGAAATGGAATGTCCCAGTTGAAAAGAGGAAGAGGCTTAGTGGTGGATTGAATGGTTTTTACACTATAAGGCCCTAGTGGAAAATTTTCCTTGTATGCACTGTCGGTGCTTATGGTGCAGCTGAGACTTGAGCTCTGGTTTTGAGGCTAAAATACATTACACGACTAGACTGAAACAGATGTTTTGTATCTTTTCAGTCTTATTTATCTTTGGTACATCATAAACAGGTGATGCTTTTCAGCTTTGTTTCTTGCTGCAACTTTTATGATATTGATACTTTTGTTAGCACTGGTCAATACTGTTGCAGTGACTTTGACCATTGCATAGTGTCCAGGATCTTAACATTTAATGAGCAGACACTCTCTCACTGGCTGGAGAGATAGTCCATCAGTATTTCCATGCTGCTGACTCAGGCTGTGTTGTACAATTAAAGTTGTACTCTTGCAGCATCATTTTTCAGTATGCAAGTGTACCTTTCAGATTTTTGAAAATCATCAGCTATTTCAGTAATACATAAACCACTGAACTGGTGAACTTCCTAGCATACAAGCAGTGGTGAAATAATTATCAAATACTGTAAATGCAAGAAGTCTTTTCTTTATTGTACCATATCAGAATTCAGGAACAGTTAGCATTCATATTGAATATGAAATGACATTCCATACTGTCCTGCACCTGTGACAAAACCACTCCAGTTTTACTATCAAAGGCACCAATATTCTGGATGAAGGGACAGTGACAAGGGCCAATGTGAATACTGGCTTTAGGGATCACAACATGTGTTCACATTTATGCATTCACACAACACATGTGTATCAGCCTTGATCAGTGCAAATAATAGTAGGGATATATTGGCAACAAACTGATGAAAATATGACATGAAACCTTGAAAGTTATGGATTTCTCATTTAGTCTTAGCCACTGTGATACTATGTAACTGAAAAACTTCATTTCTCTGCGTGTGTTTATATACACACTTATTTATTTCAGTTTCAAGCCTGCATCTTTAATGCACTGCAATACCATTCTCAGGTTTTCAGCTGTCACCAAAAATATGCATCCAAAGCCATAAATATGATCCATACATATGACACATCTTGCCCATTTCTGTCGTTGAAGTATAAGGTTCATTATCTTCTCAAATGGGTATTCATACCGTTCTTACTAAATGCTAAGAGCAGTGTTGAGCTACTTTTCTTATCCAGTCTGGTTTGTCAATAGCTGGAAACCAGGTCTACAATGTGGTATGCTGAACCAATGTTAGCCATCCATTGCTTGCAGACATTCATCCATATATGTAGCAGAAATTCATTGACAGAACCTTGATTTTTCTTTCTTCTTTATGAAAGCTGACACCAGAGATGATCAAGTGCTTTCTGAGAGTTGTATTATCCCATGCGTCAAAATTCACTAGATATCAGGAAACATGCATCATGGTTGTTTTATCAGATATGAGTTACCTGTATCTGTATGCTGACTTATTATTGTTCAACCTAAATGGAAATTTTATTCAACAAACTTATCTCCAAATTCCTTGACCAGTTTACTAGTTCATGCCTGTGAGTCAGGTTCAGATTGTTAGCTCAATCCTCAGCTAAAGACTTCAGATTCTTGGGAAGTTGTGCATTCACTCTTAGATGCGGTACTTTGGTTGTGGTGCTAACTACATAGCTATATAGCATTAATTCTTTCTGCATTATCTGAATATCCATAATTATAGGTAGCACTGGCACAACGCCAGCACTTGGACAAATTAATGTTCTGATATGGTACTTACCTGCTCCCACAAAATTAGCTTTTCTCATTCAGTGCTGCCTTCTATATGCAAACTTTTCTTTATGCATGTCACAAGCCTTCTGCTCTCCCCTATTGGAATTGAAAGATTCCAACATTTCGCTTATGCAAATCATCATGCGTCACTTCTCCATCAATAGGAGCATGACATGCTCACGTGACACATGTGACTTCCTCTATACTCCTCTATCGAACTATCACTTTTTGTTTGGCAGTGCTTGTATTTGGATGTGCTTCTTGTTTGTTCAATGATTCATGTTTGGCTTAAGTTTTCTCACAAAATGGTTTTATTTAATTTCATTAGTTTTCATTCAGACAGTTTCTTTACCTTCAATTTTTATCAGTTCGAGTCGCATTATTCTTTTTCACCACTCAAATTTGGTGGACTCTTCTTCACAATGATTCCAAAGTTCACTTCAGGGGTCACAGCAGGGACTAGCATTCCTACTCAGGCCTCGGGTGTGGGCAACCTGATAGTAGATTTATCCACGTTTATCCACCGGGAGATCAAATGTTACGTGGGTCAGGCAAAACCTGTTCAGACTAATGAGGACTTGGATCATCCTGATTTTGCCATACCTTCCCAATCTCTACCTGAGGAATCAGTTAGACCTAATTGGTCTTTTTGGATTTTATTACTCAGGTATGTGACATTTTATCCCTTACTCCTATTCCTTATGAGCCACGTCCTACCTTACTACATGACCAATCTTTCCTCCCCTTTTTGGTTTTTACTCCCTCCACTGATATTTGGGTTCATGCTGATCAATTTGCCTTGCAATTAAGCAATGGGATTAGCATGCCTCTACCTCCACGGGCTTAAGATTAGTTAGTGATCTCTTACCATCGTGCTAACTGTCCCTTTTTGGACCAACAGTTCTTATGTTTCATATTGCCTGTTTGGGAGGTGGCTTCCAGATCATCTGTCAGCCTGACCCATGCTCAGTATTCTCGCCCGTGTCTTACCTTTACAACTCTTATGGTATCTTTCTTCTCTACACCTCTTCTCTGAGGCTCTCCACAAAAATCGTGAAGGGTTTTCTGGGGATACCTTTCCTTTCTTTTCTCCACACTAGCTCGTTTGTCATCTTCAGGTCTGGCTTTGCATACGTGGTTTCTCTGTTGTTGGGACCTTCTAGGTTATGATAGGACTTTGGCTCATATCTGTTTACCATCGATTTATCTTCGGAATTTATAGCCCCGTTTCTGCAGCGATACATTTTTGACACTATTCTGGAAACACAAGAGCCATGGGTGGCATCAGTCCAACAACAATATACCCTTACCAATATTGTTGCATGTTTGTCTCAGTCAGAGCCCCATATGCCACCTATTACCATTTCCCATCCTTCCCCTTCTCA